TAATTTACACCTAATTACGGCTTATTGTAATCAATCTATCCCACATAGCCGTTTTAATAAAAAGAAATTGTATATTCACAAGCATTGTTACAATAATGATTTAACTACAGTAAAAATTATCTAAGACATACCGGTTTCTATCTATAATTACAGGAATCGCGATTGATGATGCAAAAAACTAATAAAAAACAAGAAAGGAGATAAAAAAATTTACTTACCAATTTTATTTTCTTAAAAGTCGTTGTAAATAATATACACATATAATTCTTTTTACATAATTTAATATTAATTAGCAATCTACAGTAAAAAAAAGAGAGTGCTGTGTCATATATTGAGTTATTAGTTTTTTGATAATCAACCCCGTATAACCGGCCCTGGTCTCTTCTATGTATCATGTCATATAATTTATTATATGTATATTGTAGTGAGAAAAATTTTGACATTTTTAATAGTTTTGAAATTTGTATAAGTGTAGATAGGCATATTGTTTTGGAATTTGAAAATTGATATATTATGAATATTAGAAAAATAGTCATAATATTTGTAAATATTTTAACATAAACATTTCAAATTGATTAAACATAAAAAGTATTAAACAAATATATTCATAATATATTGCAAATATATTAATAATAGTAATTCACGTAATAATATATGCAAATACATTAGTAAGTGAATATAATATTGATTGCAATTATACATCTAATCGTGTATTGCACTACTATTTTAAATTATCACGTACTTTTATTTAAATATCCTGTGCAATGTGATCTATCCAATTTGATACACTCCTTTTCGTCACTTTAAGCCATAAATAATATTCACATAAATGTGTGATTTTACGTCGTTATATATTTAATAACATTTGCCTATTCGATAAGATAAGAAATAATTGCTTAATTTGATGAAACAATTGTTTATTCGACGAGATGAGAGAATAATAATCACATTGTCATCACTATTATTAGCTATTATTAGCAATAAGATTGCTTATAAATTTCAACAATAAGTTTTGCCATATTTCGCGAAGTCTTGTTTATAATATCACGCGGCTTTACTTAATTTTGTAAAATACGCTTTTTTGTAAATTTTTCACTCTCGTCACGATCGCTTCTCGGAGTTTCCCGAGTTATTCGACGTTGTGTTTCATTCGTACTGACCGTCCAGGCCCAAGGCGCGCTGAATTAAGGCTTCAATTCAGACTTTATTCCTCCTCTCCTTTAGCGCATTCTCTCCTCTACTCTTTTCCCTCCTC